TCATCTTTATGTTGCTGCCTCAAGAGTCAAATCCATGCAAGGATTGAAAATTCTTATACTAGATGAAGATAGTCAAGTATGTAATTCTACAAAGAATGTGGTCTACAAAGAAGTGTTTGAAAATTTATAGTATACAGTATATTAAAAGTGATTTTATTACCTCTTTTGACCTGATCCTAAAAATAAGTTAGTTTATTATTACTGACAATTTCCTCATCTTTTGGCAGGAATATAAAGTGTACTCGGATCACAAATCAACTCCAATGACATCAACCGACTTATACCAGTCACGACACAAAATTTTAATTAATGAATTTCTTATGTTGTCTATTATAATATCATTATATCTAGATTACTTTAGGGTTTATGTTTTAGGATTTATATTGAATTAAACTAAATTCATTATATGCGTCATTTAATATTATAAAATGTTTGTTTACTAATGCACAAAAATTATATTTAATGTAGCACATTATTTTATTATTGTGATTTTTATTAAAAGTCACAGTACCAATGTTCTATAATTACATTCATTGTTAAATTGTTATACTACTTTTAACTATCTTACATAACAATTTGTTAAACAAATATATTAACATTTTGTAAAATTAATCATATCAACACAACAATGTATTAGTGTAAATAACTTACTTAAATTTTATCTCGCAAAGTGATAAAAATTAAACAAGCTAAGTGTGAAAGTTTGTTGGGAAACATTGTTCATCCATTATATCTTCAACATTAGTATGATTGCAAAAACTTCAATTAAAAAAATATATTAATCATATTGTGATTACTATAATATATATTCCATCAATATTCTTTTTGTTTATTAAAAAATGCATGCAAATTAAATAGAAAATATTTTTTTATAAAATAAAGGAATCAAATTGTCATCAAATATAATTTGTTATATAAAAAATTATAATAATTCTATGCGTTACACGGATACTGGCCGTAGTTTTAATAGACATTTGAGAATTGTGAAATAAAATGATTTCAAGAATCGATGACTTGATAAAACTAGTTCGGGATAAGTTTGAAGGATGATAAATATTCAAGAACTTTTAATATAAAATTAAATTTCTAAAAAGTTTTTATTTTAGTAAGGCGTGACTTATTTCAAATCGATTAGGTAACTCAATTTATATATGTTAATCTTAATCACACCTCTCACTAGTTTCTAAAAAGTTAATTTAAAATAATTACGAACTTTCCCAGACATTTCTAATTCGTGGTCTAATTCGAAAACATTTTGCTTCGAACATAGGAATTGCTAAGAATAAAATTCGAGAAAAAGAACCGATTGTATGGGAAGTACTTCAAGAAGTTATGCAGGGACATCCCGTATTGCTGAATAGAGCACCTACTCTGCATAGATTAGGTATACAGGCATTCCAACCCATTTTAGTAGAAGGGCGTGCTATTTGTTTGCATCCATTAGTTTGTAAGGGATTTAATGCAGACTTTGATGGGGATCAAATGGCTGTTCATGTGCCCTTATCTTTAGAAGCTCAAGCAGAAGCTCGTTTACTTATGTTTTCTCATACGAACCTTTTGTCTCCGGCTATTGGGGATCCAATTTCTGTACCAACTCAAGATATGCTTATTGGACTTTACGTATTAACGAATGGAAATCGCCGAGGTATTTATTCAAATAGGTATAATCCATGGAATTGCAGAAATTATAAAAATGAACGAATTCGAGATAATAAATATAAGTATACGAAAAAAAAAGAACCTTTTTTTTGTAATTCCTATGATGCAATTGGAGCTTATCAACAGAAAAGAATAAACTTCGATAGTCCTTTGTGGCTCCGGTGGCGACTAGATCAACGCATTATTTCGTCACGAGAAGTTCCTATCGAAGTTCATTACGAATCTTTTGGTACCTATCATGAAATTTATGGGCATTATCTAGTAGTAAGAAGTACAAAAAAAGAAATTCGTTCTATATACATTCGAACCACTGTTGGTCATATTTCTTTTTATCGAGAAATCGAAGAAGCTATACAAGGTTTTTGCCGGGCCTACTCATATGATATCTAGGATATCTAATCATATAGATGGTTGATATCTAAGATAAGCAAATTTAAGATACCGGTGTAAATTCAGATCTTCCCGGTTTAACTAGGATCATAGTTTTTCAATTTCTATACAAATAAAGATAAAGAAAAGGAAGTTTTCCAATCATTGACTCAAACCCATTGTCGAACCGAATCCCACTGAGTGGAATATGGAGGTACTTATGGCAGAACGGGCCAATCTAGTCTTTCACAATAAAGTGATAGGTGGAACTGCCATTAAACGACTTATTAGCAGATTAATAGATCACTTCGGAATGGCATATACATCACATATCCTGGATCAAGTAAAGACTCTGGGATTCCGTCAAGCTACGGCTACATCCATTTCATTAGGAATTGATGACCTTTTAACAATACCTTCTAAAGGGTGGCTAGTCCAAGATGCTGAACAACAAAGCTTTATTTTGGAAAAACATCACCATTATGGGAATGTACATGCGGTAGAAAAATTACGTCAATCCATTGAGATATGGTATGCTACAAGTGAATATTTGCGACAAGAAATGAATCCTAATTTTAGGATGACCGACCCCTTTAATCCAGTCCATATAATGTCTTTTTCGGGAGCTAGAGGAAATGCATCTCAAGTACACCAATTAGTAGGTATGCGAGGATTAATGTCGGACCCACAAGGACAAATGATTGATTTACCTATTCAAAGCAATTTACGCGAAGGGCTATCTCCGACTAGTATTGATTAGACGGCTCGGCCTCTTGCTGAAGGGTTAGGCAAGTCATAACAAGTAATCACAGTCAAGAAAGGTAAGTACATGATTAAAGCCTAAACGACCAATTAGTACCGTATTACCTAATTTGGTAAATATCTGAGAGGGCCCATCACGCTCAGGCCCATGTCAGATGCTATAAATAGGTCACACGTAACAAGGTATGACGGTTCATTTCATTACCCTAGAAAATCGTGCCCACACTGACTTAAGCATCGAACAATTAATATAAGGGACCAAATTAGTGTTTTAGCCTTAAGATTATTACAATAACAGTCAATCCTAATTTGACTCCTACAATTAAAAAAAAATCATCTTTTAGATGAAAAGAAAAATATCCATTCCAACAATGTATTCTATTTCAAATTATTTACTCCGATAATTTTCTTCTAAATTTCAAAACTTTCGTGTCTTTAATTTTTTGCATAGAATAATAATTGTTAAATAATATTAATAATTATTATAACTTTTTATTTTTAACTTGATTTAAACTTTAAAATAGTTCTACAGGAGGTGGTATTCAACAAATCTTTGCACCACTAATTATTTTTCATGAACAATTTAAACGATATAGCTACGACAAAAGAGCGTTGAATATAAAAACCAGTGAGGATAACCCTTCTTAGATTCCTTTTCCAAATGAAATCCCAAGTTTAAATTTAACTTTTTAACGTGGAATAAGTTGATCAAAATAAGGCTTGTTACGAAAACTTATTTTATACTTAAATTTCGAGAAAGTCAAGGAAAAACATATTCACTAAAATTTAATCGTAACCAAAAAAGTTCGAAACAGATGAGTGGATGCAGAATGATGGCGAAGAACAAACGCATCTGTAGACACGGAACTAGAAGGTAATGGTGTGTTTGAATAAAGAATTTTATAAATTTAAAAAATTTAGAATTCTTGATATTTAAATTATTTTGATTTCAATTTTTATCATTTTTAAAATATTTTATTTGAATAAGTTAATTTAAATTTTTTAAATTTTAAATTGTTAATTTTGATATAATAATTTGATTCTATTATGATAAAATTAATTTAAAAATATATTTGTATATTAAAATTTTTAAATAAAATTTTATAAAAATAAATATTAACTAATTTTTAAATATTTAATAATTTTAAAAATTAATATTAAATACTATTTAATAATTTTAAAAATATTTTTTAAAATATTTAATAATTAAAAAATATGAAAAAATAAGAGATAAGATAAAAATATAAAAGCGCAATAAGAAAAAATAATATGAAAATTTTTAAATTCTTATTTTTTTTTTTTGAAGAATTTGAAATTCTACTATTTCAAAAAATTTCAAATACTTGGATTTCAAATACCTTGTAAATTCTCCATCTAAACCAAGTATTTCATCTAAAAAAATTTGAAATTTTTCAAACAAATGAATTACTATATTCAAATTCTCCATCAAAATACACTATAATGGTATGTTTGGACAATAAAGTTTACAAATTCAAAGACTTTTAAATTTTTTATATTTGAATTATTTTAATTTTAATTTCTATCATTTTTTAAATATTTTGTTTGAATAAGTCAATTCAAATTTCTCAAATTTTAAATTATTGAGTTAAATATGATAATTTAATTCCATCATACTAAAATTAATTTTAAAAATATATTTATGTTGAAATTTTGAAATTAAATTTTATAAAATTGAGTATTAGCTAATTTTTAAATATTTAATAATTTTAAAAATTAATATTAGATAATATTTAATAATTTTAAAAATATTTTTAAATATTCAATAATTAAAAACATGAAAAGTTAAGCGATAAAATAAAATATATAAGTAAAATAAGAAAAAATAATAATAAATTTCAAATTCTTACTTTATTGAGAGAATTTAAAATTCTACTATTTTAAGAAATTTCATAAATATTTAAATTTCAAATTTTTATAAATTTTTCAATCCAACCAAGGTATTTCACCTTAAATTTAAAATTCTTCAAATAAATAAATTATTCTATTTAAATTTCTCATCCAAATACCTTATAATGAAACTACGGTTGGTTATTTTGGATAATTTAAAATATTCACATAAAAGGAGGTTCAAAAAGAAAGGCCTAACGTTTATACACCGCTGACACTGAACCCAAACGGAAAAGTTCGGGTACGAAGAAATGTGTATGTTTCTAGTAAAAACAGGTGTTGAAATCGTGGGCAGCATCGCATGTAAAAAATCAAATACTCTTATATGCTTCAAATTGAAATTTTCACACTTATGTCCACTCCAAAGTCCTGGGCGACTTCGACAGATGGCACACACTAAAAGAGTAAAAGTAACACACGAACAGCTTCTACCAATAAACTCAGTCACAGCACCATAATAGTCGATAAATTTTTGCTTCCTCTGTTCACATATAGTAACATGCTTAGATAAACATCACCTAGATCCACGAGCATACTTCCTGTCTGGGCTACCATGTGGAGAATAAGGAAGCGATCTAGATCTCTCCCTCCTAGACCTTCCCCCATAGGGTGAGCGCCGGGGAGAATAATCTTGGCCACCTCTGTATGGAGGTGAACGCCTTGGAGACCTACGACGTGAATAATCATCGCGCTCAGGACCATCACGATACCTTCCCCGGTCACCACGATAGCCTAACAACAAAACAGAAGATAGAATTCAGTAAGAAAACATAGAACTTTCAAAAACAAACACGTCAGATTCCCAATTTATGATAGATGGTTAAACTTACCATACTCTCTAGTGTTTTTCAGTCCAAGATAGTGCCCTGGGGTTGGAGTTCTTGCACGTTTTCTTCGTGACTGAAACAAAAATACAGGAGTTAATCTTTAATGATTCTTCCTTGATATAATACATGAATCGTCCAAATACCACTAATAGCAAATAAACTTGAATCATTGACATCTTTCTTGCTAGAACAACTTTTTCATTATATTAAGAGAATCCTTGATAAGAAAATTTCATCAAGGATTCATCAAGATAAAGAACCTAGCTTCTACGAAGAGGGTAAAAATAGTTATATCCACACATGATTAATGCCAGGTGTGAGATACCATAAAAGCCTCATTAGAAAGTTGTTGATAATGTCCGTTGTTTAGTTGAGAGTTGAAAGTGAATGCTGTGGTTGTAAAGTTGTTGGGCAATATAGTTGCTATGTTTAGTTGATCAGACGCATTTGATTAGCTGTTTAAGCTTGCCATTGATCAAGCAGTTTCACTAAAGTTGAAATGTATGAACTGATCATCTTTGATCCCTGCCAACAAAGCTGATGCAATGTATTCTGAATATTACCAGGAAACCTCCAAGTCAAGAAAAAATTGACAAATACAACTGTTTTAACAACTACTACCATGAAAAAGTCCATTACCCGTTCAACAGTGATGTAACGACCCTCTAAGACTGATTGATTGAGATACTTGATACAGCGCTCTGCATCATCAACAGTTTCCATTGTAACAAAAGCAAAACCACGAGAAATCCGGGTGCGGGGCTCCACCACAAGAAAACATGAAGAAACCTATGAAAGCAAACAACCATTGACAAAAATTGCCAAGATTGAGGGCTCGTTAGAGATATGAACAATAAAATTCAACAGATTCAATAGTAAACCAGTATAATACTCACCTTTCCTTCCTTGGAGAAATGCTCCTCTAGGTCTCTTTCAGTGACCCTTGAAGACAGACCAGTTACATAAAGTGTGTCACCAGGATTTGAAGGCTCAGACCTACAATATATTTTGAAAGATAAGTTAAGCCACTAAAATTGGATTGGTGGTGAGAAACTTGGGTAAGTTGCTTGAGTTCATATTACAAATCCCATTGACATCATTTTACCAAACCAAAAAAGAAATTGAGAATTTATCCGTACATCACTATCAGATAGTTAACATAAAAACAGTCAACTCTTTAAGAAATACTTGCAAGTTTAGATGTAAGCTTTTCAAATATAGTATTATTGACAGAATATAAACTAAATTGAAAAAGACTGACCTTCCATGACTTCGAGACCTTGACCTGAAGAAGAAAATACCAGCCATTCCACAAAGTGATAGAAACAGAAGACACAAAAGAAATAAGTCTCAGGCACTGGGATAAGAAGACACACACACATACATATATAAAGAAAATAATGGTACCAAGGTTTTGCAATGCAGTCCCCAACTACATTTAGCCATAATTTTTGTCATAATTTCAGTAATCATAAAGCACAATTTAAAACCTTAGTAACACAGCACCTTCTTCCACACTTTCAAGCTAAACCACAATTGTCACTAACCTGCCACGACTCCTAGAACGGGACCTTGGCCTTTGTCTCGGCCTAGACCTAGACCTTGACCTAGATCTCGACCTAGACCTCGATCTAGACTGAGCTTTCCACAGTGGGGACCTTGAATTCCTGAAATAACATCACAACCAGAGAAAAATAGCTTCACAGCAAGGACAAAGCATAAAAATATGATCAACAATGTAGCTTCATTGGCCCAGCCTATTTCTCTGCTTTATGGAGAAAACAGTGGCCACTTTCCATCAAGAAACACAATCTGCTTGCAATATCCTATGTACATTGTATCGACAATGATAAGGCAAATTCTGAATTTCCAATCAAACTATTCAACAACACGACTACACCTTCCTTCAAATGATTACAGCGAACCTATAATTCTATACAAACAATTACGAATTCATTTCTTCTTTTTCTTCGAGTTTTGTTTAAAAATAACTATACACGTATGAATAAAACCACAACAGAATCCCCCATTGCAGCTCAATTAGAGAAACAAAATGTGCAAACTGGGATCTGGCAATTAACAATGGCTGAGGCATAATTGGGAAAAAGAGCGAGAGGAATATCGAATCGAAAGATTGTTTTAGGGTTTACCTTGCGAGAGGGGAATCAGCCTGCAAAATGAAATGTAAAAGCGTTAAATGGTGTTGAATGAAGAGATCAGAGAATAAGAGCGTAGAGGTTTGGGATAGAGAACTTGCCATATTTTTTGACCGACGAAGGATTAGGGTTTTGGATCAGAATGGGCGCTCAAATAAATTCACCTTTGGGGGTGCTTAGCACGGGTTTTATAGGGTAAAATTTTCTGTTGGTCAAGTTGAAGGAAACCTACCAAGATCTACATGGGTAAATTTCCTTTTCTTTTCACACGTTCAAAATACACTTCATGGTAAAATTAAATTCTTACTTTTACATTTATACTAATAATATCAAAATACTAATAATAAAATAGATACTAATTTTTTTTGTGTCTTCCATTTGCTTATAATTTTAACCTTTAATTAACTGCCATAAAAATAATTGTGTATTATAAAAAAGAGCATTTAATCATCTAATCAGTTATTTTGATTTTATTATTGTTAAAAAAAATGAACTATTTGTAATTGATTCTCATTAGTGACATTTTGAGATAAATTAGATATCGAGCATGTTTTTAGTGAAGTTGGGGTTTGAGTTTTTGTGATGTGGTTAGAATCATAGGTTGAATGTAGATGAGGGTAGTTCGGGTGGCTCGAAGAGAAGAAAGAAGTATGAGCATTATGAAGGTGTTGCATATTCTTACTTAGCAAGATAGGGAGCTCGTTGGGCGAGCCATCAAATATGAAGACAAAGTTGTCTACATCGCATTCTCATTCAAACACCATGTGAATTGTCCAATGAGAATGAGCGTTCATGTTGAACACTTTGAAGGTATGCCAACGACACATGTCTCTTAGCATAAGTTGTTATTGTTGTCGTAGTGTAACATAAGGAGCTCGCTCAACAAGAGGATCCACAAATGATCCAACTTGCAAAATGAGTTTGATGGAAATCTAATCCTAAGGATTCATTTGGAAGAGGTAAGACCAAGAAGGGTGAAGGTTGATCAAAGGAGGCTCACACTTGAAGACCATTTGGCCTTTAACTAGGTCCATGGTTAGGAGGCTAGAGGAGGCTTCTACAGAGGAGGTACTTATTAGACTTATGCTCTTGATGAGCATTGAGTATGATTCCTCTTATTAGTCTCTTACACTCCATTGTATATACATTGTATGATACTTGTACATAATAGTTGCTTGTATAGATGTATTTTGCCTTTGTATTTGTGAGGCACTTTCTTTCTTTTATTTTAGGTTATCCTTTAGGAATTTAGGGTGTGTTACTTAGAGACTTTTTCTCCATTTGTCTTTGTATTAAGGGTCATTCATTTTTGTATTTTTCAGTAGTGGAAGTGGGGTGATAAATAGCAAGGTGTGTAGGTGCAACTTGTTAGAAAAGAATGGCTCAATCCAAGAGGGGGGTGAATTAGATTCTATGACACTTTAAAAATTTTCAGTTTTTAGGATCTTTATTTCAATTAAAAATTTTATAAAATGAATTTTCAAAGAAGTTTCTTAAAGACTTATTAATAAAGAATGAATCCTATATGCTTTCTTGATTAATCGTTAATGAGATTCAAAGTTTCGTACAATCAATATGCAACAATTTGATTCAATTCAGATCAATATTGCTCATGCAAACATGTTAATCAAGAATGATCTTTTTTACATACAACCAAGATATTATACAAAGTAAAAGATAAGGGTAAGAGAAGATTGCACAAGTCTTTTATCCTAGTTCAGCTACTCCACATGTGACCTACATCCAGTCCTCAATCATAACCTGATCAAGATTTGTTCCACTATCTTAATGAAGAAGTTTTACAAGCATACCACACATGCATACACTCCTACATTCAAGATAACCACTTTCTTGACCTCAAGAAAGCACCCCTTGTAGAAACCCACTACAAGAATTCCTTACCACTTGAGAAACCTACTCAAGATTTACAAATATTCACAAAGAATTAAGGAACGAATTCACCTAGAATTCAGAAGCAAATTTTAATCTTTTTCCTTTCAAGAATGTGATATGATGATCTTTTCTCAAAGCATTTCAAAAACATTTTTCTTCTTGGTTTCATAAAGAAAACTCTCCAAGAATGTCACAAAGACTTCACAAACACATTTTTCTAATTTTGATTCTCAAATCTATCTCTGTTTTGAAGTTTCAAAATGGTCAAACTATTTATAAGTTTTTCAGAACCAGATAATCGATTATTTTAAAGAATAATCGATTATTTTGTTCTTCATGATTTCTGGAAATCAACCAAGAACAATTTAATCAATTATTTTGCTGGATAATCGATTATTCTAGAGAGTCATTTCTGGGATAATCGATTATTTCACAAATAATCGATTATTGCAGCAAGGTATCCTTTTTACCTGTTGCTGGAATAATCGATTATATTTAATGATAATCGATTATTTTGAGTTAGTTTTCAAAACTCTATTTTAAGTCTCGAAATAACTTTTTAATCTTTTAAACCCATCATCATACAAACCCCTAATCAGATTAGATACAGATTAGCCAAAGCACAAAGCATACACATAAAAAATAAACTCAACAAAACAATTTATAAGCTACTCCTAGTACATAACATTTTTCTTTGACTTTGTTTTTGACTTCTAAGTTGTTGATGTCCTTATCCTTGGTCAGCTTTGTTCCACACATTTGTTATCATTAAAACCTTTAATCTCCAGAGGTGAGTTGATTCACCACCATGAATCTCAACAATCTCCCCCTTTTTGATGATGACAAACCAAACTAAGCTAAGGCACTTTGTCCATTTTGTTTTGCCTTATTACACAACACTTCAAAACCTGCAAAACAAACTCACAAAACCTTCTCCCCCTTTGGACATCATCATAAACAAACCAAGCTATGTATGTCCAGAATACACAAGTATGAGCTTTATGCATACTCCTTATATGCTCAGAACAATACCACAAAACTGATTTAACATAACAGAGGTATTGGTCAGCCAAAAAACTTTGTGAACTTGGATCAGAATATCCAAGCCATAAGCATCAGATCAGCAACAAAAACATTAATTGGTTAGCCAAAATCACAAGATACAATTCATTATCACAATTCAGAGTCCACAATCATTATCAAATATGCCAACCAAACATCAAAGAACCACATATCAATGTTCAAAACAGAACATCACACCACTAATCAACCAAACCAGAATTTTCAAACCATTCAAACACAATATATCAACAATTTAACTTCAAATTTCAACAGAAATCAAATTGTTCAACTAATTAAAGCAAGAAAATTGTTCAAAAATTAAAGCGATTACAACCCAATCGAAAATTAAAATTTAAAAACCAGAAATTTAAAACTTAAACTTCCTAATTCAAAAACAAAAAAACAGAACACTAATCACTCCGAGTCCTCAAACATCCCAAGCTGAGCCTTAATTCGGTTAATCTCATGATCAAGGTTATCAAATCGATCAAGAATACCCGAATAGATTGACTCGTGCCTCCTAGACATCTCCATAACAGCATCAAGCTTGTTAATCATTTTCTGCTTGAATGGAGAGAATGGAGAGAATGGAAAAACAAGTGGCCTGCCTAGCTTGTCTTCCTTTGGCCAAATTGCTTAGTTGCCTTGTGCACTTGGGAAGCTTGTGCTACAAGCTTCTAACTTAGCTTGCTTCCCAAGCTTCTAAGTTAGAAGCTTGCTCTACAAGCCTCGTAAACCATCTAGGATGGTCAAGTTAAGCTAACGATGATTCTCTTGAACCATAGTTAGCCTAGCTTGCACCATAAGTTTCCCCCACCCTTTATAATCTTTTTTCTTACTTTTGTAGTCACTTTTGATGAAATAGAGAGTGAATTCCTTGAATGAAAGTGTTAGGGGCATTGAGGAAACCAAAAGGCATGACCAACCAAGCACGTAAGAAAATTTTGAAAAAGTTAGTGACCCCATGCATTTCATTCGTCAAATCATCTATCTTAGGGATTGGGTGCCTATATTTTATTTATTGATGGCTTTATAAAATTGGTGCACATCCTCCATTGCCATCTTTCTTTGGCACCAAAAGAATGACGATGGCCCAAAGGTTAAGGTTTTCTTGAACCTAGCCCTTCTTTCTCTCCTAGCACAAAGGGAGAATTCTTTTCTTTTCTTTTCTTTTTATTTTTGTTTTTGCTTTTCTCCTCTTCATCTTTCTTAGCTTGTAATTTGAGTTGGTCCTCATTCACTTGAAAAGGTGATAGAGGACACCACACAAATTTCTTACCTAAACGTTGGAAACTTATTTTAATTGTGAGGCTATCATGGATTGTTTTCTTGTCAATTGCCATGGCCTCCCAAGCAAAACATGACTAGCCTCCAATGGTACTATGTCACACAAAACTTCTTGATATTTACCAATGGAGATTGGAATGCTTGCTTGTTGGTTAACTACAATACCTTTTCCCTCATTGATCCATTACATTTTGTAAGGTTTAGGATGAGGTCTTATAGTTAAGGCTAGCTTATCAACCAATCTAGTGCTACAACAATTAGAAGTAGACCCATTATCTACAATGAGAGAACAAATGTTTTCTAAAATCTTCCATCTTGTGTGAAACAAGTTCTCTTTTTGAGATTGGTCAATTTCACTAGGTTGATTATTAAAAAGCCTTCTAACCAATAGTAAGTCTCCTTCACAAGGTAAGATCTCTTCCTCGGAATCTATGGCTTCTTCTTCACTACTAGAAGTAGATGAAGTAGCTTCATCAAGGCTACTATAGTGATCTTGGGCTTTTAAAATCATAGTTTTCTTTGAAGGCCATTGAGAAGCAATATGTCCTCTTCCAAGACACTTGAAGCACTTGATTTCACTTGACTTAGACTCTTTGGAAGGTGCTTTGAAAGATGATTTGATGTGCTTCCACTTGGATGCACATAGGAAGAACTTTAAGTCTCCACGGATCCTTGGAAGAGGCTTCAAGGATTGGAGCTCCAAAGAGACTCAAGGTGACCCAAGCTTGCTTCTAGCTAAGTTCCACGGAAGAAAGGGTGTCCTAGCTCTACAAAGAGAAGCACTCAAGGAGGGTAGAGTAGGAAACCAAAGGGACTTTCGGAGGGTGAGTTTTCAAGTGAAGAAATCTCATTCAATTAATTCCAAAAGTGAGGTACATGGCTCGGTCATATGAATTTATAAGAGTAAATTAGGTTTAGGTAACCATGGGTTAGCCTAAGGTTAAGT